CAATGAATCAGAAAATTAATAGTTCAGTTATTTCTCAAACCCGAGAACAATATTAAGCGTTAATTAATTAATCCCAACCATTATTTGTAATTATTATAATTTGTCACTGTTTGAATGTGTCAGACATATTCTAATCGGTCAGCATTATAATCTAGGGTCAAGTTGAACAAGCGGTATATTACATGGAAGGCGACTTGTTGAACCAGTTCGCTGAAGAGTGTCAGATGAACTTGGACGAATTGATGTCCGTTATGGACAGTCTGAAGGAATCCTGTACAAAGGAGGCTATATCGGTATCATTAATGCAATTCTTTTATTTAATTAATTGTTAAACTAAACTGAACTTTATTTTTAAGTCTTGTAAAAGCTGGATATTCGAGCACTTCCTGTCGTTCAAGCACGGGGACACTATTATGCGATTTCTCATGAAACTGTAAAAATTGGTTTTTTCTTTGATATCTTTTGAATCACTTATTTGTTTTAGGGTGAAGAATCTTCAAGTGTCTTTTCTGCACAAGTTGCATGTGCTCTACTTGGTAAACGATCTTTGCCATCAGTGGTAGGTCTTTGTTCGCTGCTTCTACACTGTTTACTTGTCAGATGTCTAACAATGCCAATCCGTTTTCTGTACATAGTCAACCTCTCTCTCTCTCTCTTTAAATAATATATTAATTTTCAGCGGCTTTCTTACGCAATGTAGTTTACATAGTAAGCACCTATCCTAATGTTCTGGTGCCAGCTACCGTAATGGTTTTTTGTAGACGTAGTCGGTAAGAGCAACCTGATATCGTCTAACCGGAATTTAGCTGCGACTGCACTGTCCCCTTACTGCCCAGGTGACCGTTTATTCCTGTCATGGTTCAGTGGCATAGCGGCACCTGCAGTAGCACTATTATAGTAACCATTATGTTCGTTGACTTCGGAATACCGACGTCATTTTATTCGCTTATGAATTATTTAAATGAAATTTCATTAGTGTTTGATCTCATCTGTATTGAGTCCGGCTTGATGATATGATGTATTTTTGCATTTATGCCTTGCAGGGGCTCTACTTCCATCATGTCGCGGCATGCTAAAACAGTTCCTTATGTGTACAGGAGCAAATGAACGGCGTACAGTAGCCATGTATCCAAGCCGGTTAAGCGCCAAGAGAAAATAGTTTAGTTGATTACATATCCGTTGGTGAAAAGCATAGATATATTGCATAGCATACATATTGTAGTAGTGTACGATATGTATTATAGTAGTATAGTATCTGGCATAGTGACAGCTTATATTGTGTAGTGTATTTTACAAAGTGTATTCTAAAAGTCGTTCGTTGTTAATTCATATCCTTTCACGTGGTTCATTTTTTGCTCACTAAAGCTTTTATGTGTGCTTAGTTTTCGAAAGCAAGATGAGAACATGCTGATGCTTTTACGAAGGTACATCGTCGCGTTGTACTGTGTTACTTTCCAGCAGCACGCTGACGACGAACAGCAAAGAAGCAAATTGGAAAAGCTTGTTGGTATTTGGGAAAAGCAGGGATATTTTGATGACAGCACTCTTTCGGTAAGTTTGTTTCAGCTTGTGGTGTGCTGTCCTATTTTTAGAAGCAGAAGTTTTAAAATCTTGATAGATGGTCTGTCGTCTTGTTTTTCCGCATGAAGACCGAGGCTGCTCAGTCGGTAGAACTTGGTATTCAGATCTGGGAAGTCCCAAGTTCGGACCCTCATCCGATCAGTCCATCAGTCCTTGTTTCCTTCTGAGGTAGATAAATGAGTATCTCTCTGTGAAATTGAACCAAGAAACTACATGTTATGCATATGCTACATAGTTGTAGATTCTGCTTTGAGAATTGGCAAGGCGTTTCAGACAGATGGCATAGATAAGAAGTTATCGCTGCACCATAAGCTTCCTGAAATGAAGAGTGTTACAAATGGCCCCCAAGCGCGAAAGCCTAGGGAAGACCGACATCCCAGCGGTTTTAATCTTTCCTTTTTCCCTTCACATATGTCCTCTTCAAGAAAACATAGACTTGTTGTGCATATAACGTGTAATTGATTTTTTGTACTTTTCATAGGACTCATAACTTATCAGGTTAATTATATGGTGATCTTATTTACATTGTATGAATACTGTTTTAATAATTCTTTCATGGAACGGCCTGTGGAAATGACATAAGATGCTTGTGTTTATAGCAATTGTTTAGGCTGCATAATCAGTAGGCGCATTACCACACGGAATCAAGTTCCACGTTATTATAAATCTCTGTTGAAGTTTTGGAAATGTTCTTTTAATAGAGCATCTAAGATTAACACATTTGTTGTTGTTTATACAAACACTGTTACACTGCGTATATATACTGTGGTATATTTACTTCTGTGCATCAAGTTCTGTTCATAAAGTCGACAGTTTGATGGAAACCTTGGTTTTTCCTCTATGACTTATGCAAAATTGGTTCTTAATCCTTTCCTCCTGCAGTATAGTCAGGCAGTTCCTTACATAGATAGATTTACGTTATCTGGTTCAAGTATCACTGTCAAGTCGGTTATCGTTGCATGGTTAACCAGTGGATTTTTGTTTATAGCAGGACTTAATTACTCGAAATCTTTCCACACTTTCACACATCCTCGCTCCTGGATTCCTAGCATGCCATTAAAGTAGGCGATGGTTAAATGATGCTTGAACACCTGCACTGCTTAATTTTAATGCCGCTTGAAACACGCCCATCGGTTAATTGAGAACAAAAATCGGCGTTCGTTTGTTGCATTAAGTCTGACATATCAACTGTTGCAGAAACTACGAGATGTTCACCTCGGCCTGCAGAGTTATCAGTTGGAACTTGCGAATGAATACGGTACGGTCGTCTCAGATATAATCCAGCGTTTCCGTGCCAGATACCAGCAGTACGAACTTCAGCATCAGGAATTCGCTCGCCATATTCAGCAGCAGCTTAACTCGTTGGAAAGCCAACAGGGTAAGTGACGCTCACGGAATCATTGCCTATTACGTAGCAGTTAATAAGAAAAAGCACGATATCACTTTAGTTTCGTGAGTTTCCGGCCTGTTTGCATCGGACATGTCTGATAATAACAGTTGTCAAGAAGCAGTAGACAACAGTGTTTAATATGAACGAATAATAATATGCGTAGTTCATACGGTGGGATGGTGATATACTAAATTATTAACTGCGATAGTCATTATTCTTAGTTATTTCTTACATTGATTGTTTCACAAGATGACTGACAAATGCAGGAGTCGAAATACAGCTTAAGTAAAAGTATCATCAGTCAGTCTTTCAGTTTCTGATGGAGGCAGATACGTCCGAATTGTTTTCAACTTTTTATCCTATGGCAATTTTTTGAGCTTCAGCATAAGATAACTCGAATCTAGGGCGGAATCCGTCGCGACTGACCCAAGTAATATTTGGCCCCCTGGAATCTTCGGCTGGTACGATGTGCAACATATGTTGCTGCTTCACCTTCCTTTCGCAATACATGTGCAGATCATCTCAGCTGTGACTTCTCAGGCTAGAGAAAATATCGATTAAAGTTATATATTTTGCTTCAAGCTGCGGGGAAGAGATATGCTCAGTTGTTAGCTGTGATTGCAGTTTTAGCATGATCAGTTAATTGTTTCATTCTCTTTTTCCATAGCCGCTTTTCCTTTCGGGTCGCAGAGGCGGACGCGTCGAACAGTGCTTGCAACGTTTCTGGTCCTTGATCAGAGTCTGAGCTTCGTGAGAAGACAAAAGGAGTCTGGAATGGACTCCTTCAGTATATTTGTACCAGACGTTTCATATATTCAGTCAGTCATTCATTTATTCATTCACCCTTGTCACCCACCGTAATAGCGTCGCTTCTCCGGACAAACAGATCTCAGTGCTGGCAATGTTTTTAACATTGATGTGAATCTAATTTTGTCGTTGGGTTTGTTCATTTTGCTTGGTCAAGAAATTAGTTGCATATTCAATCGTTATAGCTGCAGTACTTGTGATTTCATTGATTCATTAATTCAGAAATCCCAACATTTTTGTGAATGGGCAAGATGATAAATGTTAGTATATTCTCCTTTTACAAATCCGGACTCACGATATGTAAATTTTTTTTACTTGCTAGGAGTACTCTTTTCATGTACAAATTTGTTTATAAAAGACAAAGGATCCTCCTGTATCTGATTACCATTGCCTCATTCATCGACCATTTCAGTAAAATTGACAGTTCTTTACCACTCTACTCTATCATCAGGTCAAAATCTTGCCCTAACCGCGGCATTTTCGGACCATCTTAGCTACCCTCCGTGTTGTTGGCACATGTCTGAACGTATGGAATGCGGTACCTGCGAAGCAGCTTGCAGTGAAAATGTGGAATGGTGACAAAAATCAGATGCTGCTATTATAATTAGTATAATAATGAATTTACAAAAGATGATAATTTGTACTTGAGAGGAGAAACTATATTACTGGAAGCATGTAAATTTGTTAGGTGGTTAAAAAATTACGCATGGGCTCGGCTTCGCTTTTTCATGCGTGTGGTGTATCTTCCATCAGTCAGTGTGTCGTTTCTATGATAAATAACGCATTCTGACAGTTCTACTTTTTCCTAAACCTAGTTATATTCCTCCTTAGTGGATTACTCCGTTCGCACTTACAGCATTAGGAGGTACACTTTAACACAGTTAAACACTAGGCATTACCAGTTTGATTTCTGTATTAGCCATTGATAGCATAGTTATAATGCGTTATTTCTGATAGGATGACTAGAGATTTGCTCACTGACAATGAATGTTTGAATTAGGACAGTTACGTTACGAAGAATTTGAAAATAAAGTCATGGTCGCTTTGGAGAGGGCCACTGGGAATTGACGGGCGTCACAGAAGTGGTCAGTATTCACAGGATAAAAGTGGTCATTTTATAAAGAGACTGCTTAGTTTCACGATTATACAGTAGTTCTAACGCCCACTTGATCTCACGTCTTCATTCAAAGTTCCTCATTCTGCTACGGTTTCCTAGCTTGTTGCACAAACATTGTAATGCTTTTTTTAGATCTGATAGCCGGCGGTCATTATGCCAGCCAAGGCAGCGTTCCATGTTCAGCCTTACCTGGTCAGCAGGTGCCTGCAGCAAGTTCGAGAAGATCTCGATTCGATAGTCCCGTACCGACGTCCGGCATACCTGGTGGACAGCCATCGCTGCCAATATCGAATCTGCCGGCACCTCATCTCCCTTCCAGCGCAGGTGCAACCGGCTTGCTGGGCCACTGTCCACCGGGTTATTTTACGCAGGGAGCGTGGCAAGGTTCGTCATCTCCTGCTCTAGTGGGTGCACCGCAGGCTGTAGCTGGGCCCATGTCTTCGGCATCATTCCCTGTTCCATTCTCCGCATCGTCGGGCAATGTTCAGCCGTTCTACAGCCCGACTTCTGTTTCCAGTATGTCGAGAATGCCTACCATATTGCCAAACATGCCTCCGGGGGCTAATGTACCACCATGGAATGGTCCTCTACCAGCCATGCCTTTATCTGCACCTAGCGACATGGCCATGCAGAGATGGAGCGGACCTGACGTGACGACCGTTCCTCAGTCGAGAACTGCAATTTTGCATCCTCCGCTGATTCCCCCTCCAATGTGTCCTCTAAGACCATTTTTTGACGAACAATCATTGATCCCTAAAGTCGCCTATTATGACTTACCGGCAGGAGTCATGGCACCATTGGTGAAGCTCGAGGACCATGAGTATAAGCCCCTGGTACCAGACGACATACGACTACCTCCTCCGATGCCGCCTAGTGAACGCTTAGTCTTAGCGGTAGATGCTTTTTTTGCGCCTCCTAACCACGAAAATCCACGTGACAGGTATCAGATTCTTTTGTTCATATTTATCATTCTTTATTTCTATACCTTTTTTAGCGACGGATGGGAACGACTCGGCTTGTATGAATATTACAACCTCAAGTCTCAGACATGTTTTGGAAACAACAAGACTTCAGACAAGTCTTCGTCATCTGAATCAAACGCCAGCATTCGTTCCGACTCGCCATCGTCGTCTACTTCTAGCAATCGGAGTAGCTCAGGCTCACCTCGCTCTCACTCGCATTCGTTCTCGCGCTCGAAATCCAGATCGAGGTCAAGGTCCCACGCTCGTTCCTCATCGAGGTTTCTTTGTTGCTGTTGTTATTGATGTTTCTGTTCAAATGTAACGTTGTCTTTATGGTTTTTACGGGAATGTTCCAGATGTACAGCTGATTACATGAATGACCAACGTTTGGAGCCATTCTCGGTTCGTTGTCAAAGTACAATGATACAAACAGTTCTCACACGAGTCAAAACGTTTAGGTTAAAGTAGGGATAAAACGGCGCAGAGCAGTTATTAATGATGACAGTAATTTATTAATAGCTGGCCTTCAGGTCGCCTCCCACTTGGCTTCTTATACATTTAGATTAGACCTAAACCTTTTGACTTATCAGATCTGTTTGTATCGTACATTTGCAGTTAGCCGAATATGGTTCGATAAGTCAGATATTTATGTAATAAAATGTATATACGGAGAAATCTCGTAAGAGACATGAAGTCCATAAAATTTATATTCCGCATAAAAGAATGTTCACTTTTCAAGTTTATATATTACTTATGCTATTTTCTAACCATAAGTGAAAAGTCATCTATCCGTATTTATTTCATTTTACACTTCGTATCTTTAGGTCCAAATCGAAGTCAAAGTCAAGATCGTCCAGTCCCGTTGGCAACGAGTAGCGCTTTTTTCCGAGATGTTATATAGCTATTTTTTTATTTTAGCTTTAAAATCACTTCCGCCGTGGACAGCATTCCTAAAAAAATTGGGGTCAGCTAGCAACGCGATGCATCGGTAGCTTGAAGGCCACTTGTTTATAGTATGAGCAAGATATTTATTTGTTTTTCGATTTATATTTGCCATTTTTTATTTCATTTATTTTCGAATAAAATGCGTGATTACCTTCTAATCAATTTTTACATAGTGACATGTAATCTTATATTTCAGATATCGTATTCATCGTCGTTCCTGAAATCATGCTCTTTCAGAATTTTGCGAAATCAGTGATTCCATCAGGTCGCGTTGGTTTCTTTTCTAATACCAATTATTTGTGTCACTGATAAGAACTACGACTACTTGCGAAAGAAAGACTTGTTGAGTTTAAACGTTGCTTGCTGGAAATTTGTTACCTTTATGCTTTCCTACAGTAAATTTTAGATCTGTAAATTGTAATGGTATAATAGTATATTGTATAATACTACTTCCCTTCTATCCACTACACTGTTTCTGCCTGTCGCCATCTATCAAGACATTTGTGTCTGTTCCGTAGTGATGCTTAACTCTAGTTTTCATTGATTTCACTGTACAAACGCGTAGCCAGCAGACGGAGAACTAATCAGTGTAGGTCTGCAGAAATACTCTCATTGAAAAAGCATACGCAGAGTCCAATTTTAATATAAGGGAGTAATTTTTCTTACTACTCTCACTTATTATATCTTCTGACCACATCACCATAATACCAGTCAAAGCAGCAATAAAATTTGACGTCAGAGTTTGATCAGATCAGTAGTTTAATCATGCTTGGTTAAGAAAATAAAATACACTGATTGTAAAGTTTTTGCCATATGTCGACACCATCAGAACTATAATTACTATATTCCTCTAAAAATCGTTTAAGTCATTAAGTAATCCTTCTGCCAATGCCTAGACTGAGAAAACGATTAAGATTTCATCAAACTGATAGAAAACAAACTAGAAGGTGATTAGGAAGATATTATGTCATCTAATTTGTCAGCATGAAGGAAATACATCATGTATAAACAGTTTTGATTATCTTTACACCTTATGATCATTTCACAGTATGCAACGTCACCACAGACTGCTTTTGCAACTGTTACCTAATATTCGGTGAAGAACAATCTAACTATATCCGAAAAGTCAGGATTTTGAACTGAGATGGCAATTATGATATTATTTACGTCGGCGTGCACTGCCGCTTAAAACTTTTACTGATCGTTGCTTATATTTGATTTCTTAGCCACTTATCGAGTTTTATCGCCACTTCAACTAATAAGTTTTGGTGTCCGATTCGAAAACTGAATAAAATTTTATATTAGCTGTAACCTTCTGTGATTGTTCACGACGTCAATTTTAGTTACACTGTATCAAAGTTTCGATCTACGGAATATCAGTCGAAATTCTGTCACTGTATAATGAAAATTAACGTTTGAACAGCTATGGGGAATTACAGTTTACTTACATTCATTAAAGAAACAATTTTTCGAACATGTTTATCCCCTCTGTCTAGAAGTTTCTAAAACCTTTACGACAAAAGACGACCAGCAGTCCAAAAGCACACAAGAAAATATAAATGATTAAAGAGACATGCTCAGAAGGCTTTCCCGCGTGTCGCGAAAACTATGTATCTATAAAAACGAAATTAATGCAAATTTCAAATCTGCACCGGTTCAATCAGCAGAACAGTTGACTGTCTTCTTTAAAGGCAAATGCGAAGCAATGCCTGAAAATGAGGGAAAAGACGAGATGAGATGAGCGTGAGGTGGATGCAAGAACCACAATAACGCTGCACTGCAGCTTTGTTATCGAAAAATGTGCATGTACTCGTTGTCGCTGAGCGCCCTCCACTGGGAGCCGTAAACCTCACCAATCAGAGCGTCGGTGAATTCGTAGCTTTTAGCAGCTACTTTGATGCAGTTGACCATCTCCGAGGATAGCTCATTTGGTCCGAACGGATAGTCGGCGCGTTTTAACAGTGCCTGCCTTCGTACGTAAAACTTCAGACTTTTATTCGGCGAAATGTAGGCGGCCATGATTGCTGTGGCTGTGCTAATACGCTCCCTAATCCCCAACAGCTGCAGATGCCTGCACGACCGGACGAGCATCAACAACGCAGTATCGGCTCGCTCGTTGTACGACTTCGAACGGTACCGTCTCTGCAGTCCCTTCTGCAAGTACGACTTCAACGTATTTGAGTAGTACTCGGCGATGGTCAACGCTGATTGGATGGTCAGGCAACTGAATGAGCTACTGTACATTATGGAGGTGACAGGAGCCATCGGCTGCCATATCATGTCCATCTTACAACGACCACTGCAGTGGAGGTGAACCTGTACGTTTGGAGCTCGAGAGGCGAATTCCTTCCAAGCACTGCTCGATCCGGGCGTCGCCAAACCCGTATACTCGTCTTGCACAATAAACAGGTCCTCCAGATAGGCGATATTACCTAGCAAATAGATGACGTCATCGTTTAAATGCTGAGGACTGATCACCAGCTTTCTTAAGTTCAGGAACAAACCGAAATGCAAAAAACTGCGGGAAGATTTGGTCAGGTTTCTTACGCATAAACAAATAAGCGTTTTGGCGAAACAGTTGAGCATTTCCGTGAGAAATTCTTCCGCTTCATGATCTTCGAGCAATAAATGGCGAAGTGTTAGCGACTTGAGGTTAGTCACATGACAGAGAAAAACTCTGACGGCCTAAAACATAAGACAACTTTCATATTTTATCATCACATTGCGAATATGCATTCGGTTTTAATATTTAACGATCAATCACAGCAAACTGGATTAATACAAACTATACTATCAATGAAGAAACGGGTTATTCAATTACAGCGTCGGACTGAAAACCAGGAAATCCTGGGTTCGAGCCCCGGTGAGGTCACTCGCGTTTGTTTCCTTGGACGTTAATAAATGGCTACCACTACATGGGAAGGCAACAGGAGAAAGCTCGCAATTCTTGCCATAAAACTTTCATCGACCCTGCCTTCAAAATAAAAATCTCTTGCTTGATAATATGGAAGTACATATATGCAACTTATAATTAACTTGAAAAAATGGAAAGAAGAGCGTTAGAAATGACCCATTTAAAATAAGCAAAGACCGATATTCTAATGGCTACAAGCTTTCCTCTCCATTGCTCTCTTAATCGATAGGGTATCTGAATTTTGGCATCGTGCTTATTAAATAACAACAGGTTAGTTAACCGAAAGAGCAACGGTCTCCAATGCAAAGAAATCGGCATTCATGATCTAGTGGGGTAACGTGCTATTCATGCTTCCAGAGTAGATCGATAAATGAGTGCGATCTTTTGGGAAATCAAACAGGAAACTAACATAACTCATGGCTAATGATCTGAAATGTGGATCTAATGACAGCACGCCTTAGTATGTAGTATAATTCTTTGCTCAAAGGAATTGGAAGCTAATAAGAAAAATGTAGCTGCACCTCTGAAGTGCAAAGCCAAACCATTATTGGAACCAATGCCCTACATACCTGACAGCTTTTGTACTATGTGCAACCTACGGATGCCATAGGTGGTATTTCGCCTCGTCTTTGACTGGAGTACATGGCCAAGCATGGAATCGTGTCCTATCTGCTGATTCCAGAAAAACATTATGAAAGATAGAACAATCGCGAAGTTTGTCACGAATCAAAATAACTCGTATTTACGAAACGAATGGGAGTGACACGCGTAGAACGTAAGATTCAAAATCCGGTACCTTGGGAATTTGAATTCCCGGAAAGTAGTTTTTTCAATTACTAATTATCTTGACCAAGAATTCCTCGCACCTGGTTTAATGCCCCAGCCGAAAAGCGGCTGAAAATAGTTGACTAGAGGGACATTATGTTGTTCTGGTATGGTCATATAGAAATCGGTAAGAAGTACAGCCACGCTCTCTGAGACAAGTTCCAATCATGGTTGCAGGTAGCGTTGAACTACCACCAACAGTTGGCTATTTATTAGTACGATAATTAGCACAAGGTGCAAAACCCTTTGTTGTTGCTGTTGAACAATGAAAGATCATTCGACAAAAAACAAACGTACATAAGCAAAGCTGCCGCTTGGTGCCTCCACGACGCGACCAGCTCCCGGAAGGAAGTTCCAGCTGGCATCATGCACTACGACAACAAAAAGTCGCTACACAATGTGTTACTCCAAGTCTAGTCTAGCCAGTTCGTCAACAACAGAGGAGACTATGAGCGACAAGCGTAAAGCCAAAAAACAATGCTCGCAAGCTATACGTAAAGCGGAACATTCAGCCGACGTCGGGCGACCAGCTGGGACGAGGACTTGCCTTAAGCAGCTGCCCCCCGGTCCCATAAAAGATCGGCTCCGCCTTCTCTTCGCCGGTCTGCACCGCTAACTTCCAGTTGAAGCTGAAATGCCGCA